CCGTAAACCCGATTTTTATCGAGTTCATCTGACGAGCCAACCTTCATCCATAAATTCGGATCGAATTCTGGATGGTTCAAAATATCATCCCCGTATCTCTCCCTCAACCGATTATTATAGGTCTCCTGAAAATAAAAATAAAAGTAATCATCATATTCAATTCAATAAACATAATAACTTACAAAATAAAATGGTTGAACAAACATACCACAAAATAATGAGCACGGTTATTGATTAGTACTTAAAAGTGCATTTTTATCATGGTTTTATATCATCATTTTGCACTTGAAGTATCAATAACTCATCCCACAAGAACAAGTGCACCATCATGCATAGTTTTTCCTCCTGATGCATCTCATTTTAATTTTAAACCAGGTATTATTCAACTTTTACCTTCTTTTCATGGCTTAGATTTAGAAAATCCATACTTGCATTTAAGGGAATTTAAGGAGGTCTGCAACACATATAATAATTTAAATTGTAGCATGAACACCATTAGATTAAAGCTTTTTCCTTTTTCATTAAAAGATAAAGCTAAAACATGGCTACAAAATTTAAGACCAGGATCCATTCGTGCTTGGGATGAAATGCAACAACAGTTTTTGAAGAAGTTTTTCCCATCTCATAGAACAAACTCTTTCAAGAGACAAATCACCACTTTCACTCAAAAACCAGGAGAAACATTTTATCAATGTTGGGATAGGTATCGAGACTTGCTTAGTACTTGCCCTCATCATGGTTTTGAAACATGGAGATTGGTTTCACATTTCTATGAAGGGTTAACACCTAAAGATAGGCAAATGGTTGAATTGATGTGCAATGGAACTTTTGAAGATAAAGACCCTGATGAAGCAATGGAGTACTTAGACTTGTTAGCTGAAAATGCTCAAAATTGGGACACTGCGGGTACTTATGAGGCACCGAGTAAAACTCAACCTCACACATCTAGTGGAGGCGCGGGTACTTATGAGGCACCGAGTAAAACTCAACCTCATACATCTAGTGGAGGTATGTACAACCTTAGGGAAGATCATGACCTTCAAGCCAAGTTTGCATCTTTAGCTAGAAAAGTCGAGGCACTAGAATTGAAAAAGAGTGGTCAATTAAAATCTGTTGAAAACATTGTGTGTCAAATCTGTGAAACAAATGAACACTCAACCAACGATTGTCCAACCTTGCCTTCTTTTAAGGAATGTCTCCATGAACAAGCCCATGTTTTAAACAATTTCCAAAGGCCCAACCACAACCCATACTCACAAACATACAACCCTGGTTGGAGAAATCACCCAAATTTTAGTTGGAGAGTGAGAACAACAATGCACAAACTTCACAACCACCATTTCAAGCACACCATAATTTCCAAAATTCTCATGGATATGCACCTCCTTATGCTCTACCTCCTAGAACAAATCTTGAGGAAACATTGCATGCATTCATTGAAAAGCAAGAGACAATCAATACTCAACTTGCTCAAAACATGACAGATTTTAAAGATACTCTTGCAAAATTAACATCTGCTCTCAGTTTCCAAGAGAAAGGTAAGTTTCCATCTCAACCACAACAAAATCCCAAGGGGCAATATAATGCAAATGCAAGTAGTTCCGGAAGTCAACACATGGATCAAGTCAAATCAGTCACTACTCTGCGCAGTGGTAAGGTTATTGAAAAACCCTCTCTTGAACCTTATGAGAAAGATGATGAGTCAATCTCTAAGGGTAAGGAAGGGGTTGAATCTGAAAATTGCAAAGAAACGACTGATTCACCGCCAGCACTTTCATTTCCTCAAGTCATGACCAAACAAAGGAAAGTCAATCACAACTCTGAAATTTTTGAAATTTTCAAACAAGTAAGGATCAATATACCTTTGCTGAATGCTATTAAACAGGTTCCTTCCTATGCTAAATTTTTGAAAGATCTATGCACTATGAAGAGGAAACTGAATGTGAAAAAGAAAGCCTTTCTAGTCGAACAAGTAAGTGTTATTCTTCAGAATAATAATGCTTTGAAATATAAAGACCCTGGTTGTCCTACAATTTCTTGCTTTATTGGAGAGCATAAAATTGAAAGAGTCTTACTTGATCTTGGTGCTAGTGTGAATTTTCTTCCATATTCAGTTTTTCAGAGTCTCAATCTAGGTGAGTTAAAACCAACTTCTATAACTCTTTTACTTGCCGATAGATCTATAAAAGTGCCTAGAGGAATAATTGAAGATGTGTTAGTACAAGTCGATAAATTCATTTATCCTGTGGATTTTATTGTCTTGGACACACAACCTATTGAAGTATGTAATTCATTTCCTGTTATTTTAGGATATCCATTTCTTGCAACTTCTAATGCATTGATTAATTGTAGGAATGGACTGATGAAGCTATCATTTGGAAACATGACATTGGAGATGAATATTTTCAACATTTGCAAGCAACCTAGAGATGATAATGATTTACAGGAAGTGGACTTTACTGAAAAATTAATTCATGATCAATTTCCAACCACTTCCAGTGAAATTGAGATTGATGAATCTGATGATTTGCAAATGATTTATTTTCAGGAAGAATCAAAGACAAGTAATTGGAGGCCACAAATTGAGGAATTGCCACCACGATCAATTAAGTCCATACCTTCAAGTGTTCAACCACCAAAACCTGATTTGAAGCCATTGCCATCCAATCTCAAATACTCATTTTTGGGAGAAAATGAAACTTTTCCGGTAATAATCTCTTCCAAACTTAATGCACATCAAGAAGGTAAGTTATTACAAACTCTGAAAATGCACAAAAATGCATTAGGATGGACCATAGTTGATATAAAAGGAATTAGTCCTTTAATTTGTACACACAGAATTTATTTAGAGGAAAATGCTAAACCCTCTAGAGAAATGCAACGAAAGCTAAATCCTAATATGAAAGAAGTAATGAAAAATGAAGTCATTAAGCTTCTAGATAATGAAATCATTTATCCTATTTCTGACAGCAAATGGGTAAGTCCTACCCAAGTTGTACCCAAGAAGTCTGGCGTCACTGTGATAACAAATGAGAACAATGAGTTAATTCCCACTAGAACTGTTACTGGTTGGCGCATGTGCATTGACTATAGGAAACTTAATTCAATGACTAGAAAAGATCATTTTCCTTTACCTTTCATGGATCAAATCCTAGAAAGAGTTGCAAGTCATGAATTTTATTGTTTCCTAGATGGCTATTCGGGTTACAACCAAATTGAAATTGCATTGGAAGATCAAGAAAAGACTACTTTCACATGTCCATTTGGTACTTTTGCATATCAAAGGATGCCTTTTGGATTATGTAATGCACCAGCCACATTTCAAAGATGCATGCTTAGTATATTTAGTGATATGGTTGAACATTTTCTTGAGATTTTCATGGATCATTTTTCTGTTTTTGGTGATTCATTTGATGATTGTTTGACTAACTTAGAAAAGGTTTTGACTAGGTGTGAAGAGAAGAATCTTGTGCTGAATTGGGAAAAATGTCATTTTATGGTAACAAACGGCATTGTACTAGGTCACATTGTTTCATCAAAAGGAATTGAGGTTGACAAATCTAAAATCGAGTTAATTGCAAACTTGCCAACACCAAAATCTCTTAAAGATGTTAGATCATTACTAGGACATGCTGATTTTTATAGAAGGTTCATCAAAGATTTTAGTGTAATATCTAAGCCTTTAAGTAACCTTCTAACAAAGGATACTATTTTTGAATGGACTGAACATTGTGAAGAAGCCTTTGTTAAACTTAAAAACTTGCTTACTTGTGCTCCTATCATTCAACCTCCTGATTGGTCATTACCTTTTGAAATAATGTGTGATGCTAGTGATTATGCCGTAGGTGCTATTTTGGGACAAAGAAAAGATAAGAAACCTTATGTAATTTACTATGCAAGTAAAACTTTAAATAGTGCTCAAACGAATTATACCACCACTGAAAAAGAATTACTTGCAGTAGTATTTGCATGTGAAAAATTCAGATCCTATCTTGTTGGCTCACCTGTTGTTGTTTTTAGTGATCATGCAGCATTGAAATATCTTCTTTCTAAGAAAACTTCTAAGGCTAGATTGGTGCGGTGGATTTTATTACTTCAAGAATTTGATATCACAATCAAAGATAAGAAAGGCAGCGAAAATGTTGTCGCAGATCACTTGTCAAGATTGACAACAGATTCGAAAACTGACATCACACCAATCGATGACTACTTTCCTGATGAATCTTTACTTTCTGTCTCTACAATGCCTTGGTTTGCTAATATTGTCAATTTTCTTGTTTCAGGACAATTGCCAGCTCATTGGAATACCCAAGATAAAAGAAAGTTTTTGAACGAAGTGAAGAACTTTTATTGGGATGATCCTTATTTATTCAAATATTGTCCTGATCAAATATTTCGAAGATGCATTCCTGACAATGAGGTAAGTAGTGTCATTAAATTTTGTCATTCTGAGGCATGTGGGGGCCATTTCTCATCAAGAAAGACAACTGCAAAAATCTTACAAAGTGGATTTTACTGGCCCACCATGTTCAAAGACTCACATGCATTCTGCAAGTCTTGTGAAAATTGTCAAAAGTTGGGATCTATTTCAAAACGTCACATGATGCCTTTAAACCCTATTATTGTCATTGAGATCTTTGATTGTTGGGGTATAGATTTCATGGGCCCATTCCCTCCATCATTTGGTTTCTTATACATATTAGTCGCAGTAGATTATGTTTCAAAATGGATAGAGGCAATTCCAAGTCGAAACAATGATCACAAAACAGTGATAAAGTTTTTGAAAGAAAATATTTTGAGTCGATTTGGAGTCCCTCGAGCCATAATAAGTGATGGTGGAACACATTTCTGCAACAAGCCATTTGAGTCTTTAATGAAGAAATATGGAATCACACACAAAGTTGCCACCCCTTATCACCCTCAAACAAGTGGACAAGTAGAGCTTGCTAATAGGGAGATCAAACATATTTTGGAGAAAACAGTGAACCCTAATAGGAAAGACTGGTCTTTAAGACTTAATGATGCACTTTGGGCTTATCGAACTGCTTATAAAACATCATTAGGTATGTCACCTTATAGACTAGTCTATGGAAAACCTTGTCACTTGCCTGTGGAACTTGAACATAAAGCTTATTGGGCTATTAAAGCTTTCAATTCAAATCTGGATGATGCTAGTCAACTGCGAAAATTACAAATAAATGAGCTTGAGGAAATAAGAAATGATGCATATGAAAATTCAAGAATTCATAAAGCAAGAATAAAAGAATTTCATGACAAGAAAATACATAGAAAAACCTTCAATGTTGGTCAAAAAGTCTTGCTTTATAATTCTCGACTGCATTTATTTCCTGGAAAATTAAGATCAAGATGGAGTGGTCCTTTTATTGTGAAACATGTGTATCCATATGGGGCCTATGACATCGAGAATCCAAAGAATGGCAATGTTTTCAAGGTAAATGGACATCGTCTGAAAGTTTACTTTGACAATTTTTCAGTTGAACATAACTCTATTGAATTGGGTGATCCTGTATATAAAGATTGATTTTATTTTATTTTATTTTACTTTATTTTTGTTTCTTATATAAATATTGATTTTATTTTATTTTATTTTTGTTTCTTTTTGAGTGATTTTTGCAAGTTTCTTCATCCCGGTCAAATGGCGGATAACGGTACTCCGTGACTTAAGTCGGTTCTTTCAGTTTCCCACAATTACTGATATCTGTGTATATATCTGTGCAATTCTTTGAATCTCTCTTCCAATTCTCATTTGAAAATGGACACTAATCTTGAAAAATTGAAAAAGAATTTTCCCGCTCTGCCTCAAAATGCGATTACAAAAATTTACCGTGCTAGATGTGCAAGATTGAGATTATTAATGAATCATGGAATTCCTGAAGATATTCGTTGGTTGATTGAAGCAAAGGTCCGATTATCAGGTGAGTCCTCTAACTTCTTCATTTCACACATGCCTGGAACAGGTAAAAGCACTTTTGCAAAGAAGCGTCGTGCAAAACGACTGGATGTCTGTCATCGATGTGCTAGATGGACTTGTAATACACAATGTCGTTCTTTAGGAATGGTATCTATAAACCGTGAAGATAAAATACAATTCATTAAGGATAGCCTGAGTAAGGAGTCTTTAGATAATCTTCTATTGACTCTTGAGACGCATCCTAGTGGAGATGGGCATCGTGCAATTCATGATTTATTGCCACTATTTCATAAAGAACATGATCGACTTAGTCTTGGGAATCTGACTAAAAAAGCCCCTGTTTGCCAGTTTTTAAGAAAACTGGATGGGAAGCCTATCCCCGACCCATAGAGGGCGTTTAAGCCGTTCTTGGACGTAAAACCAAGGGAAGATGTGAGCCACAATTACAACTACCTGTACATACACATGCTTGGTTAATATCAAATATTAAAGTCCATGTTGAGTTTACACTATACTTATTATTACACCATAGTGTAACCTTTTCACTTTGACATAATAAACTTAACTATGTCATGTTTCCAAATGATAGCTTCATCGGTCCATTCCTATAATTAATCAATGCATTAGAAGTTGCAAGAAAAGAATACTCTAAAATAATAGGAAATGAATTACATGCTTTAATAGGTTGTGTGTCCAAGATAATAAAATCCACAAGATAAATGAATTTATCGACTTGTACTAATACATTTTCAACTGTTCCTTTGGGCACTTTTACAGATGTATTAGCAAGTAAGAGAGTTACAAAAGTTGGTTTTCACTCACCTATATTGAGACTTTAAAAAACTAAATATGGAAGTAAATTCACACTAGCTCTAAGATCAAATAAAGCTTTTTCAATTTTATGTTCTCCAATAAAGCATGAAATTGTAGGACAACCAAGGTCTTTATACTTCAAAGCATTATTGTTCTAAAGAATGACACTTAGTTGTTCGACTAAAAAGACTTTATTTTTCACATTTAGTTTTCTCTTCACGGTGCATAGATCTTTCAAAAATTTAGCATAGGAAGGTACCTATTTAATAGCATCCAGTAAAGATATATTGATCGTTACCTGTTTGAAAGTTTCAAAGATTTCAAAATTATGATTGACTTTTCTTTGTTTGGTCATGGTATGAGGATATGGAAGTGTTGACATAGAATCAGTCTTTTCTTTACAATGTTCAAATTCAACCATTTCATTACCCTTAGAGATTGACTTATCATCTTTCTCATAAGGTTCAAGAGTGGGTTTTTTCAATAAACTTACCACTATAAAGAGTAATGACTGATTTGACTTGATCTATATTTTGGTTTCCAGAACTACTTGCATTTGCATTGTATTACCCCTTGGGATTTTACTATGGTTAAGAACTTACCTTTCTCATGAAAACTGGTTGAGAACTTACGTTTCTCAGAAAACTAAGAGCAGATGTGAATTTTACAAGAGCATCTTTTAGATGTGTAATGGTATGAGCATTTTGAGTGTTGATTGTCTCTTATTTTTGAATAAATACATGGAATGTTTCCTCAAGATTTCTTATAAGAGGTGGAGCATAAGTAGGTGCATATCCATGAGAATTTTGTGCATTATTATTATCACTCTTTCAATTGAATTTTGGATGATTTCTCCAACCAAGATTGTATGTTTGTGAGTATGGGTTATGATTGGGCTTTTAGAAACTATTTAAAGCATGAGCTTATTCATGGAGGCATTCCATAAAAGAAGGCGAAGGTGGATTGTTATTAGTTGAGTGTTTATTAGTTTCACAAATGTGACATATAATGTCTTGAATAGATTTTAATTAACCAGTCTTTTTCAATTCTAGTGCTTTGACTTTTCTAGCTAAAGATGCAAATTTAACATAAACGTCATGATCTTCTCTAAGGTTGTACATTCCTCCACTAGATGCATGAGATTGAGTTTTATCCAGTGCCTCATAAGTGCTTGTAGTGTCTCAATTTTGAGCATTTTCAGTTAGCAAGTCTAGGTACTCTATTATTTCATTAGGGTCTTTATTTTCAAAGGTTCCATTGCACATCAATTAAACCATTTGTGTATCTTTAGGTATTAACCCTTTATAAAAATATGAAACCAATCTCGAGGTTTCAAAACCATGATGAGGGCATGTATTAAGCAAGTCTCAATACCTATACCAACATTGGTAAAATATTTCTCCTGGTTTTTGAGTGAAAGTGGTGATTTATCTTTTGAAAGAGTTTGATCTATAAGAAAGGAAAAAATTCTTTAAAAACTATTGTTGCATTTCATCCCAAGCACAAATGGATCTTGGTCTTACATTTTATAGCATGTTTTAACTTTATCTTTTAATGAAAAAGGAAAAAGTTTTAATCTAATGGTGTTCATGCTACAATTTAAGTTATTACAGACCTTCTAAAATTCACTTAAATGCATTGATTTTCTAAATCTAAGCCATAAAAATAAGATAAAAGTTGAATAATGCTGACACGACCAAAATATTGATGTCTTCTCCTCAGTGTGGGAGTGTCAAAATAATAAATAACCTGGCAAGACCGAGGTCGAACCACAAGGAAGTTAATCGTATAAATTATAGATAACAATAATACAACAACAACAATAACAATAGTAATAATACTAATAA